TCCTTCCTGGATCTTTGCTACTCCACCGTCACAGCCCCTAAGATGTTGATGGACTTCTTGGTCGAGAAAAGGAGCATCTCTTTTGATGCCTGCATGGCTCAACTCTTTTTCCTCCATTTTGTGGGTGCTGCCGAGATGTTCCTCCTCACCATCATGGCCTATGACAGGTACGTAAGCCATCTGCAAGCCTCTGCACTATCCCAATATCATGAACAGGCAACTCTGCAGCTGGTTGGTGGCAGCTTCTTGGACCGGAGGCTTCATCCACTCTACAGTCCAGACCATCCTTACTATGAGACTGCCCTTCTGTGGACCTAACAAAGTGGACAACTTCTTCTGTGATGTCCCACCTGTCATCAAGCTGGCATGCACTGACACCTATGTTATTGAACTCCTCATGGTCTCCAACAGTGGCCTCATCTCAAGCAGCTGCTTTGTCATCCTGGTGACCTCCTATGCCACTATTCTGGTGAGGATCCGCTCCCCTGAGGGACGTCGCAAAGCACTCAATGTCTGTGCCTCCCACCTAACTGTGGTGACATTGTTCTTTGGTCCCTGCATCTTTATCTATGCCAGGCCTTTCTCCACTTTCTCAGTAGATAAGCTGGTCTCTGTCCTTTACAATATCATCACCCCCATGCTGAATCCGTTGATCTACACTCTGAGAAATAAAGATGTGAAGTCAGCCATGAGGAAGCTGAGAAGCAGGGAAACAATTTCTGGTGGGAAGGTAGACATGTGATTCCCTGCATTCTCCCTATAAAGACATTCACAGCAGCTAAGATGTACACAGTGTGTTAACTGGAAAGTCTCCAAAGTAAGTATCTAAACAGCTATGAACTGATAAAATGTGAGATGCTTTGACTCCTCTGATATATGATTTTATGACCCCACCCTGTTCTTTTGCTAGTATGGTGGATGGTTTATCATTATCATGATCACTGCTATTTTTCTAGAAAAAGAGATGCTGGAATTCACCCTGAACACCTCCATTGTTGTCTTATGACAATGGTGCCCGAGAGCTGCTGGAACTGAGTTCCGACGAGTTCCAGCTGAATAAAAGCCCTGATATGATTATCACGCTACACTGAAATCTATGCTATTATCACTCTACACTGAAATCATTAATTTACTCAAGCCATAGGGAAGTCTCTGAAGTTTAATACATTTCTGAGTATTCCATCATGTGCTAGTTTGGGCTGATGAGAGTTGTCATCATCTGGAAGGCACTAGGTTGGGGAAGGCTAGCATACATTTCATTCATTTAACGAAACTGTGTTATTACTACCCACAGCCCATAGCCATATATGTATCATATAATTAGTTCGTGTACAAACAAAGAGAGCTATTACTTACATTGTGTGCTGAGGTTTAATAAATAAGACAATTAAATGGGGAAGTGACTAGAAAATGGGATTGTCAAAATGGGACCATCAATATCCTTGAAGCACCACTGAAATAAAAGAAATTGGCTATTGCTAACTTTTATAATGAGGTCCTCTGGGATCACTGGAAGGTGTTTCTTCTGGGCTCAGTATATCCTTGGATGCACTTCTTCGATAAGCAATATAACTATAAGGATGAGGAAGATTTCTTCTGCCAGAAGAGCTGTCTGCAAATTGAAGGGCAACAAAGGGTAAATGTTTGTCTCATCTCTGCTCTTTTTTACATTGTCTTTTTGCATGGCTTTAGTTTTCCTCCCTTGCTCCTCTATTGATCATTTGGTTCAACCAGTTGTCCTGCTTGCTGGCATCTGGTGGGCCACACTGAGAAGAAGATGCTGGACTAGATGGGCCACTGGCCTGATGCTGCAGACGCTTCTTTTGTTCTTATCTTCCTTGCTAATCACTACTAAGGAAGCAAAGAGAACACGGAGGAGGGGTCTGGTGGAGGATCAGGATGGGAGGCATGGTGGCTGCTTTTTTCTGGCTGCCTCAAGCCTTTATGGCAGAGTTGGCTAAACTGCAGCCCTCCAGCTGTTGTTCAGCTCTCACCAGCTCCAGGTACCATGACAAGTGGTCAGGGATGGTGACAGTTGTGGTCCAGCAATATCTAGAGGACTAGTGGCTCCCTACTCTTGCTTTAAGGGGACAGCCAGTACTTTCAATGCAAAAATTAGAAGGAATTTGTATTAAAATGCTGATTGATTTTGATTAGGACTCTTTTTCTAAACAAATATCAAACTGATGTTGAAATGTGGGAAACTGAATTTAAGATAGGAAAAATGAGAAACCAAGAAACTGAAAATGACAAATCCTTCTTTCCCTAGTCCCTGAGCTCTGCATGTGTGGCCAGCACTACCATTTAGACAAATTGAAGAAGCTGCCTCAGGTGGCAAATGCTGGAGGGTGGGAAATGTGGAGGACAGAACTGTGTGTTCCATATGGTCTTCCCTTTGCATCCTAAGCTAGTTGTAGTTGATGTGTAGTTGAGGATTCTCTGGTATCAAAGCAATGTTAAGCTGCCAGTTTTGTCAGCAGCTGAGTGTGGTATTATGGGTGGGGGGCACCATCTTATTCAGGCTTCCTCAACCTCGGCCCTCCAGATGTTTTTGACCTACAACTCCCATGATCCCTAGCTAGCAGGACCAGTGGTTAGGGATGATGGGAATTGTAGTCTCAAAACATCTGGAGGGCCGAGGTTGAGGAAGCCAGATCTAATTCATCTCTTCAGGCAGCAAAAAGGGTTCTGCCGGATCTGCTCGTGGTCTTGAGAATCTCTGTGGTTGGAGGGAGGAAGGTGTAGGGTCCACCATCAGCAGCAACAGCACTGGATCTTTGTCTTGTTAGCCTTAGATTGGGAAATGAGCCATAGTGGTAATCTGCACTTCAGAAGGTCCCAGGCTCATAAGGTAATAAATTGCTGTTTATAACTTTATTACGGAGAACGCAGGAAAGGGAGGTGTGAGGAAGTCCAGATAGTTATGAAAAAATGAGATATGAATGGTTATGATCTTTTTTATTCTATGTTTGTGTTTTTGTCTATTTGTGTTTCTTTTGTTTGTTACTCTTTGGTGAAGGTATTGTATATGTTTGGTGATTTTCTTTTGTTTAAAACTTGCAATAAAAATATTTTAAAAAAAAAAAGGTCCCAGGCTCAATCCATTCAGATAAGTGCAAGTTTCAAACAATAGTTGTCTTGTGGTTTATTGTTTCTGAAAGTGCAAATGTGGTCAATTTGGCTTTAACTGCACACTGAATTGAATTTCTCCTCTTCACTATCAGTGACATCATGTTCAGATCACAGAGGACTCCATGTAACTCATCTCCTGGGTTTAGTTTTCTGAACAATATGCAAACCAAAGAAAAGACAACCTTTGAAATTCACACCTGTTTGAATTTTGTAGTGTAGGAATTATAGTCACCTAAGTCCTACCCAGAATTGACCCATTGAAATTAATGAATAAAAGATTGCCATGTCCAATAATTTCAACGTGTCTGCACTGAATAGGACTAGAGGTGAATACCATCCTAGTCCTACACCTAAGTAATATGTACAGAATAGCTTATAATACAGCAAAATGTGCATTAAAATGCACATAAGTGTAAATAATATTTAACGAAATTGATTAGATCAAAGGAAATTCTTTTGCAGAAATCTGTGTATATTTTGCAAAATTGCATACAAAAATATGTATATTAGGAGAAATTTGCAATAAAATGATGATAAATATTTATGTGGTTTTCTTTTTTAAAAAACCACAGAGTGATGTGTAAATATAGAGAATTTAAGATTGGAAAGATGAGAAACTGAGAGAACCTGAAACTGATAGATCTAACCATCTCTACCTGAATTGCAAAGGAAATACTTTTCCTATCATCATGACAATATTCCTTGTGTAAATTTGGCCGATTGTGAACAGAAAATGAAGTATGAAAAAGGGAATAGTGGAATCACAAGGCAAAAACAAACACAGACATGTATGTATGATACATTTGCTTGTATCAATATTGTACTCTTGCATCAATGCTGCATGTGTCCCTGATTCCTATTTCTAGATAAATGCAAAACATGCATATAATTGACAGAGGTGTTATCAAACTTGGGAATAGAGGAGAACAAGGAAAGGATTGTTTTGTTTCTTTGCATTTATGTTCTACCTTCTATCCAAGGAGCTCAAGAAGGCATACATGGTTCTCCCCCACCTCATTTAGCTCTCACTACCCTGTGAGGGAGGTACATCGGGATTCATTGCTGTTGTTTGAGGCTCAGATGGCTTCAGTGATGCAGAGTGCCTTCCATCATCTTCAGCTGGTGACCCTGTGGACAGGGATAGGCTAACTTCTGTTGTCTATGCTCTGGTAACCTCTAAGTTAGATTACTACTATGTGTGGAGTTGCCACTGGATAAGGTTAGGAAGCTTTAACTGGTGGAGAATTCAACAGTCAGGTTGTTCACTGGGGAAGACGGTTTGATCATGTAACACTGATCCTGGCCTGACTGCACTAGCTATCATTTAGTTTCCAGAATCTTAGAATTGGAAGGCCATTCAACCTCTGTATAAAAAACCATAAGGAAGGAGAGTCCACCACCTCTTGTGGGAATCTGTTCCACTGCTAAACAGCTCTTAGTGTCAGAAAGTTTTTCAGAATGTCTCACAGGTACTAATCCCACACTCTAATCACTACAAAACACTGGCTCTGTGTTATGTACTAAGCTTAGATCCTAGAACAATAGGCAAGTAGGATCCTAGAATGCAACAATTGCTTGGCCTGCAGGAAAAGACCAATCAGGCTCCAGGAGGGAAGCAGAATCAGCCATTCAGACAGGACTCATTGTGTAAATAATGTACAGTGGTACCTCAGGTTAAGTACTTAATTCGTTCCGGAGGTCCGTTCTTAACCTGAAACTGTTCTAAACCTGAAGCACCACTTTAGCAAATGGGGCCTCCTGCTGCCGCCGTGCCGCCGGAGCCCGATTTTAAAAGGAGCAGGGGTATTGCAATCATTTATTGTTTAACAATCCGAATATAATTGTTTTTCAGGACTACATCTGCAAGGATGGAAAATGGGAATCACACTGTAGTGAAAGAGTTTGTTATCCAGGGGTTGTCACAGCTCTGGGAGATGCAGCTGTTCCTTTGTGTTCTTCTCCTGCTCTTCTACATCATCATCCTACCTGCAAACTTTGTCATAATTGTGACAATCTGTAAGGACCCCCATCTGGGATCCCCCATGTTTTTCTTCTTAGCCAACTTGGCCTTCTTGGACATCTGCTACAGCTGTGTCACCCCACCAAAGCTCATGGCTAACATATTCTCTGGTCGCAGGACTATATCATACCTGGGATGTATCACTCAGATTTTTTTCATTCATTTTCTTGGTGCAGCTGAGATGTTCCTTCTCATTGCCATGGCCATTGACCGGTATGTGGCCATCTGCCAGCCACTGCGCTATGCTACTATGGTGACCCAAGTAGTCTGCTGGGGTATGTCAGTATGTTCATGGGTTGGAGGATTCCTGCACTCCATAATCCAGGTCATTCTCATCATCCCTCTCCCATTCTGTGGCCCCAATGAGCTTGACAACTTCTTCTGTGATATCACCCAGATTATTAAACTGGCTTGCACCAACACTTACACATTAGAATTTGTCATGTTTGTTAGCAGTGGCCTTGTAAGCACTGCGTGTTTCATCCTCCTCCTCATCTCTTATGGGGCCCTGCTAATAAAGGTGAGGACAAGCTCAAGCCATGGGAAGAACAAAGCCTCCTCTACATGCATCACCCACATCATCATCGCCTGCATTATGTTTGGTCCAGCCATCTACATCTACTGCCGTCCCTTCCAGGACTTTCCCTTCGACAAAGTGGTAGCCTTTTTCCACACCGTGGTCTTCCCTCTGATGAATCCCATGATCTACACACTGAGAAACAAGGAGATAAAAGTTGCTATGTGGAGACTGTTGAAGAAATATAAAAATTAGTGATTTCACCATCAGTCCCTCTTCCCAAGATTCATGGGGCACAGGCTAGACAGCACCCTTTTCTGACACTCCAATGAATGAATATAGGGGAACAGGTGACCATGGATACTGTTTTGTGTTCCTTGGAGGAACCATGGTATTAACATAAAATAAAAAATAAATAAATAATGCCAAATAAAAAAGACCCCACTTTTTCCCCCACTGAGGAAACAAAACCTTTATAAAAAACAAATTCAAAATTCAAATATCTTTAATACGGTCAATGACCAACAAGCAATTTATAAAATAAAATATGGCAATATAAGTACTATTGTACTACAGATAGCAGTGGAGATATGGCCAAATCACAAAATTGGTACTTATGTTTATGACCAGGTTTCGACTTTTAAGGTTTTGAGGATTCAATTCAAATATCACTACTGTTTATTATCGTTCCTTCGATGTTTGCAATTTGAACTCCGTTGCTGTCATCATTGCTCGTCTTATTCTTGTTGCGATGTAACAGTACTTCGCCACAGGCCTGTTGATTTCGGGGTCTTTGTCAGCTAAGAGGTGTCTGATATAGGTGTCGTCTGTACTACGAGGTATTTTCCTCAGAATCGGCTCGATCAGCTCTTTTCTTGAGTCTCGATATAATGGGCAATATAAGATAACATGCCCGATGGTTTCTATTTCGTTGCTGTTACAGGGACATAATCTTTGTTCGATCGGTATTTTGTTGTATCTTCCCTCTAGAAGAGCTGAAGGGAGAGCGTTAAAGCGGGCCCTGGTAAATGCCCATCGGTGTTTGGCATTATGTAGAACTTTAAGATAGTTTGCTAGATGGGGGCTTTGGGAATCGAATAGGAGTTTATGAGTTATTGGAAGTTGACTATTGGAAGTTTATGAGTTATTGGAAGTTGACATCTTCATCAATGACTTGGATGATGGACTCAAGGGCATCCTGATCAAATTTGCAGATGACACCAAACTGGGAGGGGTGGCTAACACCCCAGAGGACAGGATCACACTTCAAAACGACCTTGACAGATTAGAGAACTGGGCAAAAGCAAACAAGATGAATTTTAACAGGGAGAAATGTAAAGTATTGCACTTGGGCAAAAAAAATGTGAGGCACAAATACAAGATGGGTGACACCTGGCTTGAGAGCAGTACATGTGAAAAGGATCTAGGAGTCTTGGTTGACCACAAACTTGACATGAGCCAACAGTGTGATGCGGCAGCTAAAAAAGCCAATGCAATTCTGGGCTGCATCAATAGGAGCATAGCATCTAGATCAAGGGAAGTAATAGTGCCACTGTATTCTGCTCTGGTCAGACCTCACCTGGAGTACTGTGTCCAGTTCTGGGCACCACAATTCAAGAAGGACACTGACAAACTGGAACGTGTCCAGAGGAGGGCAACCAAAATGGTCAAAGGCCTGGAAACGATGTCTTATGAGGAACGGCTAAGGGAGCTGGGCATGTTTAGCCTGGAGAAGAGGAGGTTAAGGGGTGATATGATAGCCATGTTCAAATATATAAAAGGATGTCACATAGAGGAGGGAGAAAGGTTGTTTTCTGCTGCTCCAGACAAGTGTACACGGAGCAATGGATCCAAACTACAAGAAAGAAGATTCCACCTAAACATTCGGAAGAACTTCCTGACAGTAAGAGCTGTTCAACAGTGGAATTTGCTGCCAAGGAGTGTGGTGGAGTCTCCTTCTTTGGAGGTCTTTAAGCAGAGGCTTGACAACCATATGTCAGGAGTGCTCTGATGGTGTTTCCTGCTTGGCAGGGGTTGGACTCGATGGCCCTTGTGGTCTCTTCCAACTCTATGATTCTATGATTCTATGATTCTATGACTAAAGTCATTTTGGGCTTCAATGTCCCTGAGTCTTTCTTTGATTATATTCTTGGCCCTTCCCCTTTCTAAACTTAATAAATACTCTGGGGAGAGACCGTATGTGGCCTATTTTCTGAGAGTGCCCTTCAACCAACTAGATTGGGATTTGTCAAGAAGCATCAGGGAAAGTAGTCCAACCGGCGAGTTGTTCAGTCTTAGCCAAGTGCATAAGGTTCTTATCCATACTTTGGTTTTGATGCTGTATAAGCCCGCTTCCAGTCGTAGGGCGGCGTTTGGGACGCATTTAGGTGTTTGTAGGAGTGATCTAAGGAAACCTGATTGTATCTTTTCGTATGGGTCTAGATTGGAGAGGGAGACGAGTGGTGCGCCGTATAGTATTTGTGCTGTTGGTTTTGCAGCGAATAGTTTAATTGTGGCAGGAATAAAATTTCCTCCCATTGTACGATGGTATCTTAGAATTGCTGTTGTACTTTTTTGTGCTGTAGCGGAACTGTAATTTATGTGGGCAGTCTTCTTCCTTGATGCTTGGAATATAACTCCTAGGTATTTAAAGCATGTCACTTGTTCAATCTCCTGATTGTCTAATTTCCATCTATATATTTTTCTTTTGTTAGAGAAGACCATGATTTTTGTTTTTTGATAGTTCACTACTAGTTTCTCTTCTCTACAATATTGTGATAAGCTGTTAAGAGCTCTTTTAAGGCCCTTCTGAGTCTGGGACAGTATAACCGCATCGTCTGCATAGAGTAGGATAGGCAGTTTTTTATCTGCTAATTTTGGGGCGTGTATATCCGCTCCTTGTAGGTGGTCTGTTAGGGAGTTTATATAGATGTTGAACAAAAAGGGGGCCAAGATGCATCCTTGTTTAACTCCCTTTGATGTTCTAATGGAATTACAGAGTTGACCTTCTTGGCTACATCTTATACAAAGTCGTGTGTTGTTGTAGTTTGGATATTAATAGCAGGAGATGTCGGTCTATGGATGATTTGTTGAGTTTGTCCCAGAGTCGGGTTCTTGAGATGGAGTCAAAGGCTGCTTTAAAATCTACAAATGCTGCAAATAGGTGGTGATTATGATGCAGCGTGTATTTCTCAGCTAGGTGCTGTAAGGTCAAGCAGTGATCCATTGTGGATCTCTCCTTTCTAAATCCCGCCTGTGCATCATCAAGAATCTTCACTCTTTATATCCATTCACACAGTTTCTCGCTGAGGTGTTTAGCATATAATTTGCTTATTATATTCAGGAGGTTTATAGGTCTGTAGTTGGAGGGATCATCCCTCAGGCCTTTTTTGTAAATGGGAATAATGATGGAAGTCCCCCAGTCGTATGGAATCTGTGCAGTTCTATCTATATATGTGAACAGGGAGGCTAACAGGGGGCCCACCAGATCGCGTTGGTTTTAAAAAGTTCCGCTGGTATACAGTCAATTCCGGGGGCTTTCCCGTTCTTTAGTTGGTCAATCAGCAGATGGGTCTCTGTTATTGAAACTGCTGGCCATGGCTGTATCTGGTCTTCCGGTATGTCTAATGCATAGGACTCATCACTAGATTCCTCGTAAAGATTATGGAAGTGTGTTTCCCAGGCTTTCATTGATATGCAGCAGGATAGTTGTGATAGACCCCTATCCAGTTGTACAGCAACGATTCTCCAGACTAATGATGAGTTACTGGAATTGGAGGCCTCTATCAGTTGCTGCCATAATAACTTCATTGCGTACCTTTTCTTTTGTGTCAGGAGTTTTTTTTTTCCACTGAGGAAACTAAACCTTTATAAAAAACAAAACAAAAAGCAGTAAAGGTCTTTGTGTTTTGGTCATTGTTCTAAAATATGTGTCTTCTTTGGGGAGTGCAGAAAAGGAGCAAATCCTTTTCCTGTGTACTGCCCCCAGAAAATCATCATGGCAACCCCTTCTTTCCATGCAACCAGTCATTTCCCTTCTCTGTAGATCAAAGCTGTCTTGCAAGAGAGGGGGGTCATAGCTCAGTGAAAGAGCATGTAGACACTCCCAGGTTTGCCAGGAAGTGTAGGGATGTCCTGGAGAGCCACTGACAATCAGTGTGGACTTCCCCCCGCCCCCCAATTTTTTAAATTATTTTTCACATTAGTCACGTACAAAAGAAAAAGACAAAAAGACAAAAGAAAAACATTACAATACACAAAAATACAGAAAAACACATAGAAAAGAATTTTAATTTCCAAATCCGGATTGCATTACATTGATGACTTCCTCGAATCCCCTCTAACTGAATTTCATTTTATCACCTAATTAGCAGTTCTCCAAATTCATATTTCTAATAATATTAACTTCTTTCATTTACTAACTTCTTCTCCATTATTAATATTCCAATCATTTGTATTTTTAACTACATAAACTTATTGTAACGCTAGGCCTAATGTTTTACTTCCAAGAGATTTCTCTTTATCTTATATTACAGTATTAACTAGATATTCTTTAAAATTCTTCCAATCCTTTTGGGTCTCTTCTTTCTGGTTGCGGATTCTTCCAGTCAGGTCGGCCAGCTCCAAAAGTCCAACATCTTCATCTGCCATTCTTCTATTGTTGGCATCTCTTGCGATTTCCAGTTTTTGGCAAATAAAATTATTGCCACTGTAGTGGCATACAAAAACATTCTAACATCTTTTTGGGCAATTCTAGTCCTATTATTCCAAGTAGAAAGGCTTCTGGTTTTTTAATAAATGTATTCTTCAACATTTTTTTCAACTTATTATAAATCTTCTCCCAGAGGTCTTTCACCTTGGGAGATGTCCACGACATATGGTAAAAAGTACCTTCTTTTTCTTTACATTTCCAACAGAAATTATCCTTTGTATGATACATCTTTGCTAATTTCACTGGGGTTAAGTTCCATCTATACACCATTTTCATAATGTTTTCATTTAATACCGTACATGCAGTAAACTTAACTGCTTTCTTCCACAGCCTTTCCCAATCTTTCAATATTATATTGTGTCCAACATCTCTTGCCCAATCAATCATCACAGATTTAACTTGTTCATCCTTTGTATGCCATTCTAACAACAAATACATTTTAAAGAGATTTTTAACATTAGTATCTAACAATTCCATTTCCAATTTGGATTTTTCTGTTGCAAAACGGTTTTTCCTATCCAATTTAAACAATTCATTAATCTGA